GGTGCTGGTGATTCTGTGAATCACCCACTATAACCAATGACTAACCACATGGATTTAGTTTGAAAATCCAGTAGTTAGCTGGTGCTTGCCTTCAAGGGTCCCTAGGCATTTTGATGCAGAAAAACAAGTCCAACTTGGCTGTCTCCTCCATCTTGTCATCTTGCCAAATAAAAAGGGACACGTACCCCTGCAGAGATTACATACGATTGAGCTATGGAACTTACTGTGGATTATTTCCCCCAAGAATTTTCTGAGAAGGTAACTGAGTTCCAAAGAATGAGCATGTTTTCAGCGTCATGTTTACAGACCCCGGCAGAATCACTACACCTTAGAGTTCGTCTGAGCGGGCCAGTGGGAGGGGACTTCCACTCAACATCTGCTTTGTGTCAGGCAACACTCAGATGAGATCCTTATCATTCACCCTTGACCATGACCTAAAGCAGGTATCACATATGGCACCTACAGTCTGAGAAGTTACGTAACAGTAAAAGGAAGTGGCAGCACCTGATTCTAACCTGTCTCTCTCTGACTTTTCCTGATAATCCCCCACATCCGCTAAACCAGGCGGTCACCTGGAGATGGCAATAATATCATCTCAAAATAGAGCAAAGGCATGGGAGTTGTGAAATTAATACTCCACTTCCTACTCTGCCAGACCACTGTTACACAAAGCCACCCCCTTGTCCTCTCCTCGCCCTTTGTAAGGTAACAGTCGCAATGCACATTTCTGGACACAGGGGCCTCTTATAATCTATGAAATGCTTCATTGTGCTGCAAAATTCTTGAGAGAAATGTAAGCACCAGAATCTCACCAAACGTAAAAGTGGTAGCTCCTAAAACTGCACTCTAAAATACTTCTTCAATTATTTACTTTTTATAAAACCTTATTTATCCAACTTGGTAACTATACACACTTACAGAACTTACAGTGACCGAGTATCGAGATTTACATCATCTCTATGAAAAATATCTTTATTTCCTTTTCTTAGACTTTTTCTCCAGCTTTTCTCTTTTGGCTCTTGGCTTCTGCGGTTGTCTTTCTGCTGACCTATTTAAGCACATTAATGGCTGTGGCATTTTTTCTCGGGACCCATGAATGTGTGGATATCGTGAACAAACAGTGAGGATGTCAGGCAGCAGGTGTGACCCAGGGTCAGCATCCATCCGTGCGGTTCTCAGATTCTTACCTAGGATGCAGAGTCCATCCGTGCAGTTCTCAGATTCCTGGCTCAGGCCTTCGCAGAACCTGCCCCCGTTCCTCGGGGCTGGCGCTGTGCACTCCCGGATCCGCAGATGCTCACACTCAGGACTGCAGACTGACCACTCACTCCACACCTCCCAGCTCCCGTCCACTTTAAAGGGAAACAAAAGAAACATCAGGAGAAAGACCTGAGTGACCATCCGGAGACTCACCCCAGGACTGCTGTTGTTCTGAGAGCTGGATTTTCAAGAAATAACCACCAAGATAAGAAATGAAATATCAGTTTATCTTCTCTCCATGGAGACGGGCTAAAAGCAGGGCATCATTCCCTTGCTATTTCAGGACAAGACAGATTACGGAGTTTAGGTAAGCATGTGAATTAATCAGTACCTCGGGGTGGGCTAATAATGTCAATATCCCTTCTGTCTGGTCTTTCGTACATCTTAGACGGACAGATAAACTATGAGCATTAGCTGCTGGCAATCAGCATCTTCCTTGTGGGTTGACAGCTTAGAACAGAGAATGAAATGAACTCTCTTTAAACCTGAAAGCCCCCAAAACAATAAAAAGTTAAACCCAAATCTACTGATAGCATTAAACTAAAACAGGTCAGTCAAACCCCGAGGCACCAGGACTTACACAAATAGAACTTCTTGGGTCATGGATTGCTACTGTATGCAGAAATGAGGGAACTGAATCCAATTCCACTAAAAAGCAACCCTAGAGATTATGGCAGATGTTGGCAGCAATTGCCCCATAATCTCCTAGGAATGGTTCAACCCTGCTTATGTGGGTTAAGATATTGCAATTTTTAATCCAGAGCAATTAGTCAAGAGAAGGGTAACATAGAAAACGCTGAACTTGGAGCATGCTGATGTTTGAGCCCTTGTGTTGCTTCTATCAGCTTTTTGACTGGGTGACCCTGGGCAAGTTCCTTAGCCTCCCTTTCCCCTGTCTGTCAGCTAAGGATAATCAAACTCACACCACAGTCAAGGACACTGCATGTGTAAAAGTATCCTGCACAGTACCTGGCACACAGTAAACACTCAATAAATACTTTATTGAACATGAGCTCAAGATGAAACTTTAAGAATATGCTGCTGGGGAGAGTCTCACCTTGGCATTAAGTGGAACTAAATTTGGAATTTTAAAGACCCAGGCTGTAGTCCAGTGTCTTTGGAGGCAATATTGTGTACCACATGTGAGACCCAGGATCAATTCATTTCTCAGTGGGAGAATGTGCTTTCCCTAAAGAAAGTCATCTTCCATCTCATCTATTTCTCATTGTATAAAGTGGGTTATGGCCAGCAAGAGATGAGCAAAATCACTTATGAAATTTGGTAAAGGAGCTCGCTCTCTATTCAGAAAGGGAGGCAAGCACAGACCGAACGTGAAATACTGACTTGCGAAGACAACGTACAATCTCTGCCCACTGTCTTGTCAATAAATGAAAAGCTAATATCAGGCTAACTGAATGGTATCTCATGACAAAGAGTCAAATTTTTGGTACCTGCTCTTTTGTGCTGGAAGCCAACACACCTACTTCCTGCTGTTTTAAACATACATGCTGCAGAATGGGAGAATCAGGGAGAGGAGGAGAGGAGGGCAGAGGACGGAGCAGCCCAGCCAAACTCTGGGAGCTAGCAGTACCTCACAGCACGTGGGCTACTGATGTGTCTGTTCAGTGTTACCTGCTGGTTAAAACAAATACCCCCAAACACTGCACGGAGGTATTTCATCCATGTTCTTGCCACTACACTGAATTTTACATTAGCACTTTGGATAAAGGCTCTACTCTATGAATTTGGGAGAGGGTGGCTTTGGAAAAGGAGCTTATACGGACTGTTTCCCATCAGCCCGAGAGTGTTGGCAGGTCAGAAGGAGGAAGGGAATCTGCGTATATCTCACCAGGACAGAGAGAAGTGCAGGTTACTTTCTGCACTGACATCCCCTCACAAAACGCCCCACCATTGAGAGGAGCTGGGTTGGTGCAGGTCCGGGAGCGTTTCTGCCATCCTCTACCACAGCGAACATTGCAGGCTGACCACTCTGTCCAGGAAGACCAGCCTCCATTCACTGAGAGAGAAAAATGGGGAGGGGAGAAAAAAGGAGAAAGGTTTTTACTGATTGCCTACTATGTGCCAGCCACTGTGCCAGGTGCTGGGAATCGGGGCAGCCCCACCAGCTGCTCTCTAGGAGGCCACAGAGGCCTCCCCTCTTTCAGCCCTCAGTCTAGTCACCTGAAATCGAGGAATGCAGAATTTACTTTGCAGGGAAATTATGGGAAACAGGCAGAACTCATCAACAGACCACTAAAGCACTTGAAAATCCGGAGAATAAAAAGAAAATATCGGCATTTGAATTTCTATTACTTTAAGTGCTTCAAAACTAAATCCCAGGGTTCTTCTATGGCGGCAGGGAAGGCCTTTACTTAAATAGCCGGGAACTTCTTTGATATAACACCTGAGATATTCCGCAAATAATAATGTTTGCTTTGGTGGATGTCACAGAGAGGAGGGGAAACGCCCTGACGGCAGTTCTGTCACGGATCAGGGTGATGTGGGGTTTGGAAGGGGTGGGAAGAAGTTGCCCATCTCAGTTCTTTTCAAGTATAAACACAAAGGAAGAAAATAAACACCTTTTTATTATTTTTAAAAGAGAGAGATCTGAAATGTCACTATCTCACAGTATTGGAATAGCAAACACATTCATAGCAACGGGGGTGTTTTCTTGCCTGCCGAGTTGGGGGGACACAGAGCAGCGATGCCCCCAGGTGATCTCAGCGCTCTAGGCTGAAGTTTTAATCAAGCCCACGTCCCCCTGCCTCTGCCTCCCCATCCATTCCTGGCCTCTGGGCTGGTCTTACCATAGACCACCACGGTGGCCGACAGGCTTCTCCTCTTGGCCACAATGTTGGCTGCCATGCAGGTGTAGTTTCCAGAGTCAGAGAGCCGGGCCTGCCTGATGATCAGGTTATGGTCGGCTCTGGTGTCGATGTTCTCGTCTTGTTCCGAGTCGATGGGCTCCTCGTTTTTCAGCCACTCCACCTACAGGAAAAAGGAATATTTACAAGCCATAAAAAAAAAAATACCAAGAACTTTTTTTTAGAATTGGAAGGTGAGCAGTTCTGCAGTGTGGGAAAGAAATACACCTAGAATACATGAGGCTGGACAATGAAGCCCATGAACTCATCCTAGAAAACGTGCTACCTCATTGCTGAGTAACACCATGGTCACCAGATGGCCCCGGGGAGGGCTGCGAAGGTGACTGAGTCATATCTGGCCATGAGGTATGGAGCAAAACTTCTTCTGGAATGAGTGTGAGAACTTGACTGTCTGACCTTGTGGAGAAGCAGCAGTGATTTGCTCCTTTATACCACGTATTTTAGTCACTAAGTTTGGTTATCTTCAGGAAATGGATACTCAAGTTAATAAGCTGCAAACAGGAAAAGAACCCAAATATCCTAGTCACTCTGACCTAGTTTCTAAAAATGCGAGGGAAGAGAGAAATGAGGTGACTGCAATTAGGTCATTTGATTGCCACTCAGATGACAACGATGATATTTCAATAACTGGTCCAAAGTGAAGCTCGGAAAATCAACACGGAATTGGCAGAATTTGTACTTTATGCTGAGAGCACATTATGTCATTATACAAGGTTTGCAGTCAATAACTTTGCCTTTAAACAAGTTTTAATAAAGGCCAAAGTGACACAGATTTGTATAAAGGCATGTATGTCAAATTCAAAGCTCAGTGTTCTCTGGATTTGGCCTCAAGTTTCTGTGGGGATCATTTATATTTTCTTCGGATGAGTTACCAGACATGCAGGCTCGGGGTGAGGAGCCCCCAACTTCCAGAGGAGCTCACCTCCTCCATCCTCTGGGTATAGGCTCTTCCCATCTCTGATTTGTCTTCTCCTAATGTGGCTCCTGGAGAATCTGTTTTCTTCTTTCTGGATCTCTAATCCTACCCTTATCCGTACTTCCCTTTCCTTGAACAAGGAAGACGCAGATGGAAGCCTCTGCTTCTTGTATCTCCATCCTTCCCCATGTGGAGAGACACCACTCTGAGGTCTCTGTTTCACGAAGCAGCCCAGTTTCCCTGATCTGGGTTCCATCTCTATTCATTCTCTGCTTCCACATCTAAACACCTCTACACTCCGGCACCATCTTAGTAGCCCTAGATACATATCTTGAGTTGTCAATAACTACTTAGCTCTAGTTATGAGCATATGTAAAACACAGTAATTGAACAGACTCGTTAAAAATGGAAATTTATTACAGAGAGTAATGGCTATGACTGCACCAGAGACTTCCCGCAGAAGTGCCGACTTCAGGAGGCATTTCGACACACTCTGCCCACCATTAAGACAGCTAAGTGAAAGTTAGTTTTAAAATAAGACACCTCATTTCATTTTGTGTTTAAATCTAAATAACTCTAATTTATCACCGGTAAAAAGTATAGCAGTTATATATAACAATGTGGTTGAATAATGACTTGCTGGTCTCTATTTACGAGAAGAAAACCTATAATGGTTCTTCAATGCCTTCCCCAAGTCCCACACCATCAATGAGAGATTAGATACCAAAGTTTATCACCCTCTAAAATTTACTCTAGAAGAGGTCAATGGGAGAAAAGAGGAAGAAGAGATGTGAAAACATGAGGAAGAGTCAAAAGGAGATCTCACTACCAAGCTCAGTGACTCCTGAGGACATCAGCAGGACACAGCCTGGAAGTGCAGGTGCTGACGTGACCCAGGGCCAAACAGCACTGCTCCGATTGACAAAGCTGGACAGTGGAACCAAACTTAGACACATCTGACTGTCTGCCTGTGACACAATGTCCTCTACTCACCACTAACATTGCATATTTCAAGCCAAGCACAGAATCACAAATCTCTCATGTTCTCACTCGTGTACACGTGGGGGAATTGATCTCATGGGGTCAGAGAGTAGAATGATGGTCACCAGAGCCTGGGAAGAGGACTGGGGAGGGGGCGGCAAAGTGGGGTGGTTAATGGGAACAGATACATAGTTAATTAGATGGAATGGACGGTATTTGACAACACAACAAACTCACTGTAGTCAACACTAAGTTACAGCATACTCTGTTAACTGAAAGAATGAATTGGAATCTTCCTAACATGAAAAGATAATAAATACCTGAGGTGATGGATACTGCAATTACCCTGATTTGATTAATACACATTTCATACCTGTATCAAAATATCACACATACGCCGCCAGATATACACAACTATTATGTACTTATAATAAAAATTTAAAAAAAATTAGAAAAACATTTTATATTTCCCAGACCCATCCATTTATTCCTTTGAAAAATGCACAAACATTTACTGTCTATCAGAGGTAGCACTGAGAGCTTGGTGAAAGCTAGGTGAACAAAACTACGATGGCTCTTTTTAATAAGCAAAACAGAGATAAAACACGTAAATCCATATTTTCACCAGAAAATAAGAGCTGCAAGTAACCTTGTCACCAACATTCGGGATGGAATGCTATGAGCAAGTCCGTGGAACTGGGTATTTATCACTCCTGAGCTACTGGGAAGAGCAAACTGGTCTCCATAAAGCAGGTCTGAGAGCTTTGGCTCCATCTCTTCCTGGGTCCAAAATTCAGGTGTAAATTGCCTGTTTTCTAATGAAGTCTCTGGTTTTGCTATTTGTAGCATCTAGTAAACTTTGTTCCTATGTTTTCCTCTTCTTTCACACTTCTCAAACAGCTGGTCAAGCAGGAGGGAAAGTCTGGCACTGGCCCATAAATAAAGTATTCTTAGCAAGCAGAGAGCCAGAGAGTGCTCTGTGGGAAGGATCTGGAGATGGAAACTAAAGGAGTCCCAGCACCTGGAATTAAGAAAGTCGTCCTGCAGAATCCTGGCCCACAGGAAATTCAAGGCACAGTCATCAAGTCGAGATTTGGCTCGATAGCCATCAAGTTGAAAACTTATGGAAAGATAAGTCACACAGACGACAAACTAGGCCGACAAACTAAGAAAAGACAAAAACTTGGCAAATGGTAAAAAACAGCACTGATTATGAGTATAAATAAAATAAGCTACTTCATTTCTAAGCTGACGATGAAGCCCTGTCAGCAAATACAGCAGAGATGAGAAAACACAACAAAACCACGGCAGTTAAGTAATCGAATAAATATTCTATAGCACTAATCTCCTATTGTTAGAACAATGTGAGATTTTATGATCTGAAATAACACAGATTACAATCTCTCTCTCTCGCACATGCTGTTTTGTTTGTCACTGGGAGTGACCACAGGACATTTTACTTACTCCAGTCTTACTACACAGCTTGAATAGCAAAGCTTGTGTTGAAATTTAGCCCTCAGTGTGGCAGTCCTGAGAGGCGGGGGCCTTCAAGAGGAGGAAAGCAGAGCCTCATGGGTTCCCAGGGGAGGGGACCTGGTGGCTTCATAAGAGGAGGAAGACAGCCCTGTGCTAGTGCGTCAGCACACGCAGCCCCTCTGCCCATGACACCTGCACCACCAGGGACTCTGCACAATCCCTGCCAGCAAAACGTTCTCCACAGTACTCTCAACGCTGGGATTCACAGTCTCTAAGACTGTAAGAAATAAGTTCCTTTCTTTATAAATTACCCAGTTTCAAGGACTTTGTCATAAGCATCAGGAAACTGGCTGAGATGCTGCTCTTCCCTCTGCCCTTCCCTGGTCTTTAGGGAACCCGTTTTAGACAGGTTGGCTTCTTAACCCGTCCATCTGTGGTTTCCTTACTGGCTTCTTAACCTGTCCATCTGTGGTTTCCTTTCTGGCCTCTGCTGGTGATTCCCCATAATGAGATCCCATCAGGTTGCTTCCTACCTTGAAATCTTTCAATGGCCATGACTTGTATTTAGAACAAAATCCCCACACTTGCCCTAGGCTAAAAACGTCCTTCCATAGTCTAGCCCACTTTCACTTAGCTACCTCTGATCCTCCCAGCAACCCCAGCTCATTCAGCTCCAGCTCAGGACTCTGTTTTGCCCTAGGTAAGTTCAAAGCAAGTTCCAACCCTAGGGCTTTCACATCTGCTGAATCCTCTGCCCTAAAGGTCTCCTCATCGTCCAATCCCACTTTGCATTTGAGTCTCAGGTTAAATATCTTCCCAGAGAAGCCTTGCCTGACTACCCTTTCTAAAATAGTGAACCAGGGCCACAGGGCGGTGCTCCTCTGTAATCTCAGCTACTTGGGAGGGAGGCTGAGGCTGGAGGATCACTGAGTCCAGGAATTCAAGGCTACAGTGAGCTATGATTGCACTCCAGCCAGGGCAACAGAGTGAGATCAATCAGTAAATGAGTAAGACCCCTTCCCCTGTTTTAATTTTCTTCCTAATACTTACCTCCACCTGATAGAATGAAGATAGTAATACTATTTGTTTTTGCCATTATGATCTCAGGAATTTGCTGAAAGGAAGGATGGGGCTGTGAGCGAGGATTTAACTACAATCAATTATTTTTGGCAGAAAAAAAAATAAAGAAGCTACATGCCAACTGATGGAGCTCTGTTGAAATAAATCATGATTCCATGACTGATTTAGTGTTACACAGGCTTTAGAAATTAGGATTTCACCTAGTGAAAACACAAAAAATAAGTCATGTCCAAATATAAACTTATGTGTTCAGTATTGTTATAATTTGTAAAACAAAAAAAATTTACAAATATACAGGTACTTTATACCAAAAAGACTGAAAGAGAACACAGTCTGTTTACTAGAGAGATCTTAACGGGGGTAACTTCTTTTTTCCCTTGGTAGTTAATTGTGGCACATTCAAGGAAAAGCTTTAGTAATCTGAAAAAAATCACTTTAGCTTCAAACATCTCTTTTACTTAGCATGTAGCACCGTGATTTTCAAATTTATAGTTAGCTAGAGGATGCTTCTTCAATTCAAAGCTGATCTGAAAATCCAAAGTGAAAAAACGGATCAACAAGGACAGATTCTACGTCTGAAGCAGGAGTGAAGGTTTCTCAGCTGCAGGTGTGAGGACGCTCAGTCGCATCAGTGTGGTCACACCCAGGCC